TTTCTTGTTTATTGTTTGATAATTCTTAAAAATATCAACTTAGACTTCGGGTTGTACTGATTCACATATTAATTTATTATTAATAATTATGTAATGTAGTAATAACATATGTACCGCATAGACTCGGCCGGCTCGGCCACAGCCGGCCGCGCTTGTTATTGTTTTGTTTGTTGACATAATGTAGGTACCTACGCTCTTAAATTCGTAATATATTATGATTTTGAACAGATTGATTAAACTAAACAATTCCATAATGAAATTTGGTTCATCAAATTTATGCCTTATTATTAAAATAAATAATAGATCCTTCATTATTTGTAAGTTTTGTTGGCTTATTCAATAGCTGATGAAGTACTTCACAAAAAATACGCGAGTTGTCAGTGTATGTAATTTGGCGAAAGAATACACCACAATATTCTTGAACGCACTTTTCGAAATGTATATGTACATGTACCTATCTTGTGTGAGCATGATTGTATGACCGGCGGGGGGAGAGGGGTTTAATCATACGATATTTAGTTGCCTACCCTGTCTCGAAAACCTGTGCACGCCACTGGTACTGAATATACAAGTACCTATATTAAACTGTCAAACACCAAGCGGTCACCGGTGACCGCAACCTATTGTTCTTTAATTGTGTCTATAATGACGGTACTCGACGAGTTAACGCATATTACTAATTTAAAGTGAGACATAATAACCGCACCTACCTATAAATTAAAACAGCAATAATTTCTTTATCCTTCGCTTGTAGCAGACTGTCATTGAAACTAAGAATATTTTCTTCATCAACTAAGTGAACTTGAAACTTGACACCTTCTACAGTTTGATATTTAATAGGAGCAACGAATTTCTTGGTTACTTTATTTCTGTTATCTTTAGTCGTACTTTGCTGAGTAGCAGACTCAGTATGAGGTCGGTTCTCTAAAATTTTTGGTTTACTGTATTTCATGATACCATTCTTATTGGCCAATTGAGCTTGAACAACTTTCTTTGCGGTTCTCATTGCAGGCTGAGCTTTGTCTAAATGTATTTCTTTGTCAGGTGTATTAAACATTTGGGTCAGATGCTTATTTGGTTCAGTATTTTCCCGTATATCATCTTTGTCGCCGCCCTTCAATTCGTTAATGCAGTCTTTGTCTACGTTTCCACACATGAGATGCGGGGATTCAACGTTATCAAGCCAATTTTTAATAGCCTTTGTATACTTTTGCTTTCGCAAATTATTTTTATTTGTTTGTTTCATCTCAACTATTACTTTTGAATGGCTCTCTTCAGCATTGTTAATAGATTTACGTTGTTTTGCACTTCGATCTGATTTTTGTTTCGTCCTTTTGCTTTTCTTCTTATATTTATTCTCTTTGCCCACACAACTAACCCGATTCAAGTTAAATGTAGATCCCATAGTAAAGTTATGATCTTCATGTAATTCTTCGCAATCTGTTTCTCCGCCAGCGGCAATTTTTACAAATAATTCCGAATCAAGCATATCATCCCAATTTATATCATCAACATTATTTACCTTCGGTTCAACGAATACTGCATCACAGGTATTCTTATCGGAAATGATACAGAGGTTTTCTTTATTAGATATAATCGGATGAAGGAGATCAATATTATTGTCATTCGTTTCCGAAACAGCTTCATATTCTAAATTAATATCCGATATATTATGTTCACTTCTATCTATCTGGTCACAAGGAACAGGTACAGTAAGTAGTTCCGCTTGTGTGCGTTGTGTTTGTGGAAAATCAATGATAGAAGTGGAGTCGTCATTGGAGCTGCAACGTTACGTAAATAATTAAATTGCGTAATGAAACTATCTAGTTCGGTGATATTAGACGTGAAGTGACGTAACCAGTCTGTGCCTCGCCTGAACCTTATTAAAAAGTAGTAACACCCCGTGACATTTACTTTTTTATATTTTCAATGTACAAAATTTACACTTCTACAGTTTTATTATAGGTATGTATAGACTACGTCCACTCGCATGATTTTTACCCGCTGCTCGGCTCCTATTGGTCATAGCGTGATGTTTTACAGCCTATAGGTATAGCCTTTCTATAAATGCACTATCCAACACAAAAGTAAGGATAAAATGGGATTAGTACTTAGTTCCGGAGATTAGCGAGTTTAAACCAACAAACTCTTTAGCTTTATGAATGTTTAATAGCTAGTCCCGTGCGACTTCACCCACTCTGCTCGGCTCCTATTCATCGTAGCGTGATGTTTAATAGTTTGTAGCCTTCCTCGATAAACGCACTATTCGACACAAAAATAATTATTCAAATCGGATCAGTAGTTCCGGACATTAGCGCGTTCAAACGAACAAACAAAGAAACAGACAAACCAACTTATCTGCTTTACATAATAGCTTAAGTTAATATAGGAATAACAATACTATTTACGTAGACAGGGAACGCGATCCTCCTCTTTCTTGAGGGTCTCAGGGCGGGAGGGTTGCAAAGTACCAACTCTTACGAGTCGAAATGTAAGGCATTAGGTAATGAATTTACTACTTACGATAACACTTCATTTTGTCGGTTAGGGAATGGCTGACGTTTGTATCCAGTTTTGTTTTGCATATGCCCTAAAACACACAAGTAGGTATTGTGTTAGTTTAAATCTATTGTCTAGATAATACATATTTCATAATGTTAGGTATAGAATAAAAACCAAAAATGTATTTGTATCGAGTAGTCTATGGAGCTCCTACGATGGGAATACAAAATCCCACAACACGGCCACATGGAATGACAAGCAACGGATAGATAAATGAACCGCTCACACGTTTATAGTTATATGTACATATCTACCCACAATCGCAGCATAATATAAGTCACGAATAAGATGTAGGTACCTGTTGTACCTACTTTAACATTTTTAATGTAACTACCACCCACATTTTCCAAATGAGGTGTGCCTATTGCCATACATACACGACAATAGAAACCGGAAAAAGGAAAAGACCTCAGAATTATCTTACCAAACCAATGCTCTGCTACCGGTAGCAGACTAGCAGAGTCCTTAGCCTGCAGTAACATAACCTGCCTGAATACACCCAGTTGTACCGGCACTCGGCAGGTGTTAAGACTTACCTTTGCCCCATTGCTTTTTGAGAATTAATAATACTTTGTTCCCAAAAGGAGATAAATGGTTTTCGTAATATCCTCTGGGTTTATAACAATGATTATTACGTCTATCCATTACAAATTACTTTAGGTAACACCAATTTTCCGAATGGTACCATGCGGCTATAAAGGTAGCTATTATTTGATTTTAAAAAGTAAAATGAAATGTAATTTTCGCGCCTTTTTATCTGACATTCGTTTTTTTTAATTCGAATGCCTAGTCTTTAGGGTACGATCTACGACATGTGGATATTAGCTGGGGTCATCGTTGTTTTTTATGGAATAGGAGCTAAACGAGCAGATAGATCACCTGAATTTACCTGATGGTAAGCTATCAGCGCCACCCTTACACAATATCATGATCAATATAATATCAAATCGTTAAGTCCATGGAATAGAAAAAGCTAGTGAAACAAGTGAGTGAAACAAGTGAAGTGAAACAAGTGAATGGGGTTGGCAACTGTCAAAGTGGCGCTGTTATAGCTAGTGCCCAAAACATTGCATTTCTCTTCGTTAAAAATAAGCAAAATATTTCTTCTATCAAAATGACGCGTTGTATCGTATTGAAATGCTCGGAAATAGGAGTCCATCATATCCAAAAGGATAAGAAAATTCGTCGGCTTTGGTTAAAAGCTATTCTTACGAAAAAAGCAGCAAATACACAGGTAACCTGCTTGCCAACAATTTCTTGTACTAACTATTAATAAGTATAAACATCTTACGATAACAATAAGATAGTTAAGTCGTTTAATTAGAGCTGTATTAAGACGTTAATAACATTCCTAACTTTTTTTACAGCAGTTGAACACCAGCACAAATATCTCAAGAAAAGTGCTGTACATCTGTCTTTGCATGGAACACACAACCAGTTTCGGAGAAGGCAAAGGCAAGACAAGATAGATTAAAAGCCCGTAACCTTAAAAAGAAACATATTTTTGAAATGCCTTCTACTTCTTAATACTGTGAGGACATAGTGCCACTTAAAGAAGATGAAGATGTGCACATGACTGATTGCAATGTATCTTAAGAGCTTGTCGTTGAAAATGAATGTGACAAATTACCATTATCGTACGCTGTAAATCAAAACACTTGTGGCACTCAGACATCAAACATATTAAGACTATTCTCAACTCAGTTGTTACTTGCAAATCATGAGACAGTGCATTATTATACTGAATTAGAAACATCTACAAAGTTTTCTTTACTTCTAAGCACACTTTTACCTACGGCTAATCATTTTATATACCTATGGCTAATCATTTCGATAATAAACCACAAGTAATCACAATTGCACGGGCGTCTTCAAGTCACAAAAGGGCGAATAAACAGTTCGTAAGTTTGTAAACAAAATGTGACAGAACAATGGCCGCCAATGCAAAAGAACTAGCTATGCTGGCGCCATCTGAGCTTTGACCGGCCAACCCCATTTAGTCTAGTGAGACACCTACAAAATAATGTTCATATCAATCTTCCATCGCTTTCCATCTCCACTGTTTTGTTTTTAGTGTAGGTAGTGAATTTGTTATAAACCAACCCATCCATGCTCTTTGCTACAAGTTTAAGTTCTTATAAGTTTACATACAAACTTACAACACACACACAATTCATGTCTATAGATTTCAGAATATCAAACCCACAGACGTTGATCAAACTTTACTATTCCATAGATCAAACCATATCAAACCATCAAACTCAAGCCAATATGTACATCATAACGGCAGCAATACAAAAAAAAAAACAATGTTAAATTTGTCAATGTCAAATTGTCAATTCTCAACTTGTCAAACGTCAAATCCATTGTTCATCATGTTCATGTTTTTAACAAAAAATCGTATAACGCTCAAGGAAAATCGAGATTAAGTTATGACTATATAAATCTATGTGACAAGTCTAATAAGTTTTTGGATAAATTGGTAATGGCTGTAAATTTTGAAAGTTGTGACAGCTTACCTCCAGATGAAGAACCTAAATTGAAATATGATAGACTTGCAAATGATGTTCAAAACATATTGTTGAAAGACGCAGTGAGTTGTATTTGTGTGCATACAAAGTTCATATGTCTCGGTACACAATGGGGCGTGATACATTTGTTGGATCACGAAGGAAACACGGTGCCGATATCACAAGACGGAAAGAATAAAGAATTACAAGCTCATGCAATAGCAGTTAATAGAATCTCCGTGGATCTGAATGGAGACTATATCGCAAGCTGCTCGGACGATGGGAAAGTGTTGGTGTACGGCTTGTATAGCAACGACAACACTCACAACCTAACCCTCGGCAGGGTAATCAAATCCATAGCCCTGGATCCTTTTTATTTCAAATCTGGCTCAGGACGAAGATTTTTAACAGGTAAGTGCTTACTAACAACAAGGTTTTTGATATATGCCTATTAATTCAAATTGATTTTCAAATTGATTGATTCAATAGTTTCTATATTAACTAATTTAAGTAGGTAAGTAATAGTTTAATTTTGTGCCATGTCTGTGTTATTGTTTTAAACAACTCATTTAATAAAATAATGTTAATGTAAGCTTTACACAGGTGTTATTCTTTACATCATGTAGAAATTTTAGGACATTCCTTCCATATAAACTTAGCCTTGATAATGTCAAACACATCACAATTACAACTTTACAATTGAGATGGTGATATGGCATGAAAATCTATTAAAATAGGTGTCAGCTAGATAATAAAAAATAGTAGACACTTAATTTTTAATTTGCAATATAAGGTAACAACACTTTATACATAATACTAGTCAAAATTTAAGAAATGGAGGTTGTCAGTTGTCACACCACTGCTCTGTACAAAATGTACTAAATTGTGATATCACGCAGTATTTCAAACTAGCATTTACCAGCAGCTTTGCTCTCGTAAAATCCCCTAGTATGAACACTGATTCCACATTAATACAGCGATAATCTCAAACACAATGTGAATTAAATTATCAGCCGAGTTAGTAGGAAGTAAACACTCTGGGTGTCCAATCCTATTAACAACTATTTGATCACTACTACACTGCACCACTACTGCAAACACAGACTTTCTCCATAAAAGCCTGACACCACCATACAGCTGCCCATTGAGTGAAGCTCATACCCGTACCCACCCATAAGTGAACTCATTATCAATGATGCCTAGGTACGGCACATCATAAGGCAATAGCCAGGTCCCAGAAGTGCAACTAATCCTATCAGAAACACAGCACAATCGGTGAACGCTATCTATTAGATGTCAGAGTATACGCTTTTACAATAAAATTCCCAGCCATATCCAAAATCTGAGTCTAAATAAATTTAAAAATGCCATTAAAGATAAATTTTATAGTAAAGCTTTTTATAAAATTAAAGACTACCTAGATGATAGTCTGGCTTGGGAATAGGCTGCTAACGTCCGCACGGGTCATGTTGACATGTTTGTAACATATAGTTACATTTCTTGACATTGTTTTTCATACATTGTTCTAACTTGACATTTGCTTTTTCCTTTACAATTGTTAGTGCTAGGACCGTGCGAGACTTTGCCTCACCATTTCTTTTCTAATTACCCATATTCTGACAGTTTGAGTATTTGTGCGACCCACGCAAATGTTCTTTAGGTTGGTATTGTTCGTCGAATCAGTCAGCCTCACCTGTTAATTGAGCCGACTGTAAACCGACACATGCGTACTGCCTTCAGAACTGGTCCGCTCAAACTGTTGTGGTTCTTTCCTCAAAAGGCCACTACAGAAAGAACTTGCACGGTTCTCACACATAATATTTTATACATATTGTCTGGACTTTAAAAGAGACAGACCTCTGAGTTTGTTTCGGCATTTCTTCTCAGAGTAGTCAGTTAGGAAATGTCGACCTCATCGTTCGCTTGATAAAAATGACGTGTAAAAGTGCTGCCTTGTAGCCTATTTGCAGAAATAAATTCACTTGTTTCACTTGTCACTTGTTTCACTACTCATCACATAACATTCTTATAGTTGAATATTGATACATCTATATTAGTATTGTTGTTGTTATCCATCATGAACAATCTGTAGGATCACTATTAACAATATCTGGATATTCTCTTAAAGTTAATGACTCGTCTGAATAGGATTCCTTCTGGTCAAAATGTATCATCTATGAAGGTACCCAGTTTATGCTTAGGTATAAACAAGTTAAATGCTTATTTTGTGTTAACACGAATAAGTAGACCAGTAATTCTTTATTGTCCTCTTTATCTGGAAAAGGTTATTATATGAATTGGAAAAATTTCAAGAACTCCATGCAATATGACTGACACCACTGAATCTAATAAAGAACTCTTGAATCAACAATCAGCGGAAATAGACCAGTGCTGCTTTATAATTGTCTCATATACCTAATGAAATAATATAATGAGTTTTCTTTGTATGAATGTATTGTGATAACGTGTTTGAGTGTTGTCCAATAAGTATTATTTCTGTTACAGGTGACACCAAATTAACATTATATGAAAAAACTTTCCTGAACCGTCTTCGTGGCACTGTATTATGTGAATGTGAAGGTTACGTACAGGCCATGTCATGGCACGAACGCTTTGTGGCATGGGCAAGCGAAGTCGGGGTTCGGGTTTACGACCTAGTTGCTCGTTGCTCACTTGGTCTTATCCAGTGGGAGAAAAGTCCCAACAGGTCTATTGAAGATTACCGCTGCAACCTCCTCTGGTCCGCTCCTAAAACTCTCATGATTGGTTGGGTAGATACTATCAGAATATGCGTGATAAGAAAACGAAGCCAAATTGAACTTCAAACTCGAGATGTCACTGAGTATTTAGTCGACCCAGTGTACACATTTCAAACTGACTACTTCATTAGTGGCCTGGGGCCTCTGGATGATCAGTTAGTCTTACTAGGGGTACCCAAGGAGTGTGATCCTGAAACCGGTAAGGCACAAAGACCTGTCCTCACGGTTGCTGATTATAAAGACTGTGAATTCTGTGAAATATCAACAGATAGCCTTAATATACGTGGATACGAGGAATATTCATGTAATGATTATTATTTAGACATGCTCATAGAGGAAAATAGATTTTTCATAGTATCTCCCAAAGACATTGTCGTAGCAAGCCCTTACGATATCGACGACAGAGTGAAATGGCTCACAGAACAAGGTCGATTCGAGAAGGCGCTCACCGTTCTCGAAGAAGTGGGCGGCAAGACTACAAAGCACTCAGTCGTGACAGTTGGAGTACAATATCTCGACCATTTGATGGCTGAGCACTTGTACGAGGAAGCGGCTATTCTATGCGCCAGGATATGTAAGAATGACAAGAATTTGTGGGAGACCCAGATATTGAAATTTTCTGAAGTCAACCAGTTACGGGTCATCAGTCCCTATGTACCTAAAACTCCTGAACAAGCATTAAGCTCGCACATTTACGAATTAATATTTTATGAATATCTCAAATTAGACTCACAAGGATTCCTAAAACTAGTACAAGAATGGAATCCTACTTTATACAAGACTGGCGTTATTGTAAAGGAAGTTTTAGAACACCTACTTAATACCGAAGTCGATAAGAATATTTATTTAGAGGCTTTGGCTCTTTTGTATTGCTACCAAAAGAAATACGATAAAGCTTTAACGACCTACTTGACGCTCCAACACAAAGATGTGTTCACGCTGATCACGAAACACAACATGTACAATGTGATACACGACAAGATACTGGAGCTGATGACTCTCGACTCCGACAAGGCGACCGCTGTACTCCTCGACAAAACTAAAGTCCCCGTCGAAGTGGTAGAAAAGCAACTAGCCAACCACGACCTTCTCTTGTTTAAATACTTAGACGCCTATAGCAAAATTGAACCGAATGGAAGATATCACGGCAAGTTGGTTAGGCTTTATGCTAAGTACGCAAGGGACAAACTTCTTCCATTTTTGAAATGTAGCGATAATTATCCAATACAAGAGGCTTTGGACGTATGCCAACACAACTTGTTTTATCCAGAGATGGTGTTCTTGTTGGGACGGATCGGGAATACAAGAGAAGCTTTACAAATAATTATTGAACAATTGAAGGACATAAACCAAGCTATCAATTTCTGTCAAGAACATAATGATAAAGAATTATGGACAGACCTCATCAAACGAACAGTAGACAAGCCCGAGTACGTGACGCTACTACTTAAAAGAATAGGTAACTACGTAGATCCGCGAATGTTGATACAAAACATACAGTCGGGATGTGAGATAAAGGACCTGAAGGACTCGCTCGCGAAAATGATGTGCGACTACCACCTGCAGCTGTCGGTGCAGGAAGCTTGCAAGGTGATCACGCTGCGGAACTACTTCGAACTGCACCAGAAGTTGATCGTCAACCAGCAGAGAGGTATATCTGTCACGGACGATTTCATGTGCTGTGCGTGCCAAGGCCGGATCATAATAAGAGATTTGTCCAATGCCTCAGACTTGATGGTGTACAACTGTAGGCATTCGTTCCACAAAGAGTGCCTTCCCGACGGAGACCAGTGCCAGACTTGTACGGTGTGCAGTGCCGTCAAAATGTGACCTGAATCAACAAAGCTCAACTCTTAGATAGATACTGTATATAATGTGTAAACAATATTTTCCCGTTACCGATTTGTTTAATTATGTTAATCAAACTCATTATTATTTAAATGTTTATCAATGTTTGGTGCTTATAATGAAGTGGCTTTTATTATTTTTCCTTGTATTAGAAAAACTCAGATAATATAATAATAAATATAAACCAATATAGCTATGTAATGTATACTGTTTTATCTTATGTCACATACTACATTGCATGCATATTCAATATTAATCCGTTTGTCTCTTACAGAAAGGACAATTTTTAATTTAGTAGCTTACACTTCCTGCTGACAACTGATCCAGACCACTACTCTGTATCAGTCTCATGTAACTGTGATCTGTCTGGTGGGATTTGTGTCTAGGTATACACAACACATCTTATATTATTTTAGACCCACAAACAAAAAAGGTATTTCAAGTTAAAGCAAACATTTTCGTCATTTGAATAAAAAAAATAATATGTAACCAACCATGACATTTGGGATGTTGGGTTTATTGGTAAGTGCTAGCTAATGACCTCCTAAATCCTCCTAAAAAGCTATGTCGGTCCCTGCGCCAAACACCCTGTATGTACAAAAGAAAGTCGTGTTAGTCGCACTATTTCCATTTTCGTGTGTTCCACCGTGTCGTCAGGGCGGTCCTCGCAGTGATGACACCCGGGCGTTTCCTCCCGCCCTATCAGACTTGGGAGGTACCTTTACCTCCCGAAGCTCCCATGTTCGGTGAGGACCTGCGACAGGCGGTAGGTGAGGACGCCGTAGCGTCTCTCAAGTCATTCCTCAAAGAGAGGACTTATCGCTGCAATGGCAGCGACCCCATTGAATCCCAATAGACACTCAATGGCTTTCAGACAGTCTCTTTTATTTATTTATTGTTCTTGGAGGACTTATACCTACAGCTTATAAAAATGGATAAAAACAACAATAGGCTACTTATTAGTGAGCCAATTACAAGTCCTCATGTGGATTTTGAATAAATTAATTAATATGGTGTGAGTACTAGGTATACAAGATTGAAAACAGATACCATGTATTCTGAGGAAATCAGTAAATGACGCTCGCTCGACTTTCGACAATTTATGTAACTACGAAAATCTATCGCTGCGTCATGTCGCTGTAATATTTTTATTGATTTTGAATCCTAAGGTATCCTATCTTAAGTATTTCCCCTACTTATTATACTCTTTGATAATAGTAGGGGAGCCCACGATGCTAAATTTGAATTTACTCGAGCGTCGTTGGGATCTATTGGATTTTAAAGATATGCTGATAGAAAGAAGAAATGGTTCAGTGACAATTTCTTCCACCGGTGGGGGAAGGGGGAATCCACAGATCTTTGAAATTGTTAAGCGTTACATTTATTCTAGTGGTCGAGCGTGTCAGATATTGATAGTGTACATGCTCTATGTGTATTTACCTAATAATAAAAAACTCTTAATCTGCCAGTTTGCATGGTGGGGTTGAATGTTCTGGAGAGTACAAACGAGAACCCTTCAAAATCCCCCCCCCCCTCCTGCCACTAGGTTTTCGTGAGGTTTTCCCCTTATGTTAATCTGACGCGCTCGATTAACTACCGAAATCCCCTACTATAAGTAATATTAAATTATGTTGAATTGAAATATATTGTTTAATTTTTTTTCAATGGCGAGTCCAGCCACTTTTGCCCGTTGCCGGCCATTATTTATACTCTGTTGCCGCCAGTCCACGACATTTCCGAGTGAAACATAATTATACAATATTATATTTCTCTTGTAATTTAAAACAACATATTATAAAAATCATAATATTACTATAATCTTGAATTCATGAGAAGCAAATAAAGGTGATTAGAATCTATATAGGTACCTATATGTCATGAATTTTTATGAACGAAGATAATTGACACTCCTTTGCACTCACACACTTTACAATAGTCATACATTAAAAGTACAAAATTAAGAATTAAATTAACTTAAGAGATTATCATCAAGTCTTTGAAGTTAAGTTATATAAATGTAAAATGTTTGGAAGTTAACGATCAAGTAAATTCACAAAATTTTATTCACTGTTTTTGACTGTCAAGGATTACTCGGCGTGAAATGGAAAACAAATTTATTGTTTATTCCCATGTGGTAGAAAAATGGACGCGCACATGACTCTGTGAGGTTTTGAAAATGTTTTCTTTAAGTGTTCGCATTCGTTGAGCAGTGTAATTTGATAATTTTGTGACAAAGTGGTGTGTGAAAATGACAGAAATGCCTCCTTATCTTACGGTCAAAGATGAGGAGAAAAACAGTGCTCAGGGCGACAGTGATACTTCTTCAGACGTCGACGATTGGGATTTACCCCTCTGTTTTGATAAACCTAGACACCTTGAGCCTATAAAAGGCGCAGAGCGTGTGGAGCATACGTGGAGAGTCAAAGAGAAGGTGAGGCAATGACTTTCAATTAATAACTTGTGTACAACATTAATGCGTAGCTGATAGTAACGTTACTACGATGACAACAAACGCACATGGCTCGTTGAATGAACGCTTTGTTAGCTTAGCGTACACTACCATTACAAAAAAAAATACTATTTGTTTGTGTTGTGAAAGTAGTTAGCTATTGTGATTTCTGTAGCCATTCTTATGGTTAGGGTGTATGATGATATACAGAATATTCTTAAGCATCAAGAGTGAAGCTTGTTGCATAACACAATATAATTTTTATTATGTATGTATGTAAATAAATATACACAATAATATACTCTGTTAGATTGTTGATAAACAACTCTAATGACAGAAAATACCTCCTTGAAAATAGTTTGGGCTTGTTCCAATAGTCTAGTATTGTTGATATAAATATACTAATAATATTAATATAGGTAGGAAGAATCTGAAATTTAAATAATGACTATATTTGTGTTTATATTCAATTTCCTCAGTTCTTACTAGGTATCTATTTTATCAGTCACATTAGTAATTTTAGTTTACATTTACCTGCATGACAATGATCATGAAGTTCTATGGTAATTGGGATGATGACAAGGTACGAAAATTAAGAATCTAATTAATATACTGAAATAATATTAGACACATATTTTTTATTTTGTCGTATAATAAAACAATACTTCGATAAAACCAATCAATGTTTGGGAGTGGGGGCTAAAACGTCATTTCTATGTATAAAATGTACAAAGAAGTGACGTCATGTGACATTTCAAATAAAAAAAATAAAAATAATGATTTAAAATAATCTACCAGACGGACATTAAAATAAAAATTAGGCATCTACCCTATTGAATACAACATGCCAAGTGCAGTTATCTGCTTGTATTATAATGCACTAATAATATATACGGTGAGTGCTAACAAGTGCTTGAGCTGCATAAATCTTGTCTATCCTATTTTAAACTTTGTTTTAAACACAATGAGTCTGAAAAATAATGTTTGCTAATGTATTTCAATTTCACTCTCGTAGAAGTTTGAAGGATGTAATTACTCACACACTAACTAATCCTGCGCAGTTTCACAGTAATGAAACAAGTTTTTACTAAAATGGTACATTTCACACCTGATACCCAGGTGCAAATTGCAAATCACTTAGGAAAATTTACATTTCACAGTCTACCTTGGAGCTAGGGTTGCCAAATTTTTTAATAAGAAATAGAGTATATCCGATTCTAAAGGAGGTAAATAAAGAGTATGGACTTACAAAAAGAGTATATTTTTTCGTCCTTTTTGCAGCACATTACAATTTTTTGGTTTAAAATAAAAAAATCTGTCTTAATTATTATACTAGGTTAGCTTATAGGTCGAAAGGTAGGTGATTGTATGAAGTCTATACCAAATTTTATTCCATTCACTTCAGTGATTTTCATAATGGAATACTTTGTTGTGTCAATAATTGAAAATTGTATTAGTTAAAGAAATACTATCAAATTTTGCTGAACTAAAACATAATCACTTATGTATGACCATTAAATTGTCAAACACTGCGCGGTCACCGGTGACCGCAATCTATTGTTCTTTAATTGTGTCTACAATGACGGTACTCGACGAGTTACATATAGTAGACTTTTTATTCTGATGGGTTTTTGCATATTATTATAGACTGGCACTAGTTAAGTAAACATTGTGTAAAAAAGAGTATTTAAGCATACTCTAATAGTGTTATAGATTAAAGAATTGCCTACATGGTATATAGAGGACAATACTCTATTTTAGAGGATGGTTGGCAATCCTACTTGAAGCATCCCCCTTAAGCAGTATGTTTTTTTTATATCAAATATATAATTTGTAATTGATATGTAATTATGTTTGAAGTACAAGACCCACTGTGTGGCTCTGGTGCTGTGCCTCAATGTGGGAGTGGATCCCCCAGATGTGGTGAAAACCCAACCGTGTGCCAGGCTTGAGTGTTGGATTGGTAAGTAACCAATTTATTATAAATCGTGACATTTAACATACTCATAACTCAACATCACACTTTCAACCCTGAACCTGTAGGCAAAGGTGTACATGTAATCTTACACACACACTTTTTATTATATGCTACTGGCTACTCCTGCGCTATTTCACCGACTACCCAGCTCCTATTGATCGTAGAGTTACGTTTTATGGTGGTCTCTATAACCATCCTGAATAAATGGAATATCCAACACAAAAACAATTTTTCAATTTGCTTAGTAGTTCTGGAGATTAGAGCCTTCAAACAAACAAACTAACTCTTCCAACTTTTTATATTAAACTCAAACACTAAGCAGTCACCGGTGACCGCAACCTATTGTTCTATAATTGTGTCTATAATGACGGTACACGACGAGTTAAGTGTAGAGCAATAAGGTAGTCAGCATGTAAACAAAACATATAAACATTGATGATTGTCTTTTCTCTCATAATTATAGATGGGTGATTTTCGGATACTGAGTAAATACTGAATACGTAATTTTTGAGTAAGTATGTATAAAATGGACATAAAAGTGACATTATTTACTTCCCTAAGAAAATCTATACTTAATTTTATAAAGCTGAAGAATTTGTTTTTTTGTTTGTTTGTTTGAACGCGCTTATCTCCGAAACTACTGATTCGAGTTGAATAATTCTTTTTGTGTTTAATAGTCCATTTATCGAGAAAGGCTTTTTTTTTTAAGGGGGGAAAATCATCGAATGACTGCCCCCGCCTGGGTGAGGCGGGAGGGAGTGTCAGACTCTTACTGACTAAAAACCACCCCGTTCCTTCTCCTGCACGTCGAGCCGGAGCCCCGGTTACCCGTTAGGTTCTCCGCGACATCGAGAAAGGCTATAGGAAGGCTATAGGCTATAAAACATCTTGCTACGACCAAGTTAGTGTTTAGATATTGGAAATGTGTCCCCAAATGGGAACTTGTTTAACTCCTCTGGTGTTGTTAACAACTCCTCGGCACTGATTGCTTACTATCAGGTTGCTCATTTTATAATACAAATTTTGGCACTTTTGTAAAAACACTTGGTCATTTTTTTTGCTTGTAATTTTGTGAGTAATAATTCCATAACTTCAATTGCAATAATAAGACGCCTCTGACAGAATGTATCCTAGTCTGCAATCCTACAAGTAAAAGTACATAACATAACAGTGAATATTGACTAGTCCACAGCTATAGTCATACCTAATCACATCTTTTCTTATTCTTTGAGTTAATAGCAGGAGTTTAAGGTATTTTATACTATACATATAATTAAATATAAACACATTTGTCATTATTATAGTTAAATATTGATGATTTCTCTAAAGTACATATGCGCAATTATCCATTAATTGTTTGTAACAAGCTATGTTTCAAGTGGTGATAACCTTAGTGTTACGTTGATATTTCGGGCGTGAGATACAAGGTAACTACTTAAGCATAGCTTTAGGAGCATGCCTATTGGATATTATTTATTTGTCTCATATTATTGTCAGATTTATATTTATACAGAATAGACTCAGGTGGTATTTTACTTTATATACCAACCTAATAATTATGATTTATCATTTGATCATGATCATTTGAGGTTTGTAAACGCATAAAGACATGCGTGTGGGACGCTGGGCACGCAGCAATAGGGCAGGGTAGCGCCCCCCACGCAGCAGTATGTAGAGATGATCCATCTTTCGGTATGCAGACCCGCAGTCGCTGTCCGCCAGCAAGGCGCTGGAGAGCATCGGGCACGCGCTGCAGTCGCAGTACGAGCGGTGGCAGCCGCGCGCGCGCTACAAGCAGAGCCTCGACCCCACCAGCGATGAGGTACACACTCTCATCTTTCAATGCTTGCTCTCTTCTGTAGATCCTGGCTTACAGGAGTTGGACTTACAGTACTTGGGTTGAGTGACCATTTCATTATTCCGGTATGTATGTAACTATGTAGGTATCTACAGTTTTTTTTTTTTCAATAGAAGGTCACTGATTTCAGTCTTGGACGGAACAAGAGTGAATTCAATGTATGTACTATGCACGTACCTCGCGTACATATTCAACTTGTAGTGTATTATTATATGTTAACCTGTACTGACTAAAGTAGATATTCTTGGCAAATGTAACACAGCAAGCATTGTATTTAAATAGTGTTAACCCACAAATATTTGAGTGTCGCCGGCTGGCGAGCGTAAATTAGGTAATAATTACTGAGGGCGCGCCGGACGACCTTCAGCGTATGAGCTCATTCTTGAACACGGCCACGCGTCGCATCGACCGACCACACTTTACTCGTCACGGAAGGTCCATTCTCATCGTGTGTTACTCGTGCATTTATACAAACCACGTCCAGAAACGAGGATGAGTCGACCAACGAGGCAGTCGCCCCAAAGAAAAATATTGTTTATCTATTATCTACACAAATAGTAAAGCTTCTTTGTACATAATTACTATCGGTAACGCATCTGTATTTATTGTATGTAACGACCTGTTGTAGGTGAAGAAGCTGTGTTGTTCCCTCCGTCGCAACGCCAAGGACGAGCGGGTGCTGTTCCATTACAACGGCCACGGCGTGCCCAAGCCCACCGCGCAGGGGGAGATATGGGTGTTCAACAGGGTAACGAGACTTAACATACTGAACTTTGTTTACTAAACTTTTTGAAACCGTTTCTCTAACTGTGCAACTTTTGTGCACTAGGCTTACACGCAATACATCCCCCTGTCGATGTACGACCTGCAGACGTGGATGGGCGCGCCCTCGCTGTACGTGTACGACTGCTCCAACGCCGGCGTCATCGTCGAAAACTTCAAGCAGTTCGCGGAACAGCACGAACGCGAGTACGAGGTACGTCCCGAGCCGGCCGCGGAACTGGTCTGCGCGTGCGTTCTCATCCACGGTCTATTGGACAGGCTCAAGTGAACTCCAAGGAGGAGGGCGCCACCCTGCCGCCGCCCGTGTCGTACAAGAACTGCATCCAGCTGGCGGCGTGCGCGGCCGGCCAGTCGCTGCCCATGAACCCCGAGCTGCCCGCCGACCTGTTCACGGCCTGCCTCACCACGCCCGTGAAGATGGCCATGAAGTGGTTCGTGCTGCGGGAGCGCACGCGCGTCGCGCCGCCCGACGTGCTGGACCTCATCGACAAGTACTGGCCCGCCTAGCGACCCTCCGCTGCGCCTGGCCCCGCACTAACGCTCTGTGTCCGCGCAGGATCCCGGGCCAGGTGACGGACCGCCGCACCATGCTGGGCGAGCTCAACTGGATCTTCACGGCCATCACGGACACGATCGCCTGGAGCTCGCTGTCGCCGGAGCTGTTCCAGCAGCTGTTCCGCGCGGACCTGCTGACGGCGTCGCTGTGCCGCAACTTCCTGCTGGCGGACCGCATCCTGCGCTCGTACAACTGCACGCCGGTGGCGGCGCCCGCGCTGCCGTCGCTGGCGGCGCACCCGCTGTGGGCGGCCTGGGAGCACACGCTGGACCTGGCGCTGGCGCAGCTGCCGCGCCTGCACGGGCCCGAGCCGGCCGAGTACACGCACTCGCCCTTCTTCCGCGACCAGCTCACGGCCTTCCAGGTGTGGCTGGAGCTGGGCAAGTGGCGCGTGTCGCGCGCGGCGCCGGCGCAGCTGCCGATGGTGCTGCAGGTGTTGCTGAGCACGCTGCACCGCGTGCGCGCGCTGCGCCTGCTGTGCCGCTTCCTGGCGCTGGGCGCCTGGGCGGCGCGCGCCGTGCTCAACGTCGGCATCTTCCCCTACATGCTCAAGCTGCTGCAGGCCTCCGCGCCGGACCTGCGCCCCTCCATGGTCTACATCTGGGCGAAGATCATCGCCGTCGACCCTGTAACTATGCGATTTTTTCAATCTCCTATTTCACGTCACTTTGGTGTTGCTTTAGTTATTTATATAATAGAGTTACTGCTCGGCCCATTTGTTTGTACATTGCTTGATATCTAGTAAACCGACGCACGTATATACAGTACGAGAGGAACACCAACGTCCTTCCCAATATCGCTTCATTAGTTGAGTGCCATGCAGCTACAAACCCGCTGAATACAAGTATACGTATTGTTACAGAGCTGCCAAGTGGACCTGGTCAATGCTAAAGGACACAAGTATTTCCTGTCTGTCTTGCAAGATCCATCAGTTGACGTGAGTCTATGTTCTGTACTATTTATATGCCAATGCTAGGTCACCATATGTACAGTTCGGCAAAGTTGACGGTAGGACACTTTTCATTAAACATAATCCTGTGGCAAAGTCGCTATCCACCTGCCTGTTTTCCTTGCGTTCGTTCGCGTCGAGTGCAAGCGAATATCGTCCAATCATGGTCGTCCGTCAACTTAATCGATTGTACGTATGGTCGTCACAAAATAGAGGAAGAATGGCAAATGTAGTATGTCACAGATGACAGATGTCATAACAATGAATGTCCTTGTAAAGAATGAAATGATCTAATCTACAATATAAACTAATTACTACGTTCCACGCTTTCCTAAATATTGAAGCATCTCTTTATATTATCTCTTTATTTATATTACCTCTATTCTCTATCTACGATAGAAGTGCATTGAATAGACGAATTAATCATAGAATAATGTTTTAAAAAGTTACATTACAATTTAAAATCTTCATGTTGGTTACCATAGTGATGTTACCTGTCAGTTATCCGTTTTCCAGATCAATCGTAATTCATATTCTAAACCCTCCTCTCACCTGACTTCTAATTTTGTGACAACTATAGTTTGACAAGTACTCTATACTTTCCTGATAAATGGATCTGATGGATAATATAGTTTAGTTACAACTATAATGTAAATATTTAATACAATCTGATCGTTTGATTGGATCAAAAGCATTAAAAAAAAACTAGTAAGTAATATATTTATCTTTTGTAACCCTGTGTCCTAGTAAGATACGAATACACGATGGTCGTGCGAGTTTGTGATGCGACTATTGCGTGCGTTAGGTAAACAATTGTAACCTGATCACTCCGTGCTAGATGTCTACATCATTTTTGTTTTATTTTTAATTGTAATCGTCACAAAATTAGAAGACAACACTGACATTGTTTACTCTCTGTACCGCTAACCGCTATCAATTGTAATGAACATATAAGATAACAATAACAACAATTTATAAACAAAAATAGAATATCATTTATAAGCGTCAAATTGATCTTTATGTTATAGGAAGTAGTCACAATATTCTGTATGTGATTACTAGATTAATACGTAGATGAAGTGATACAAAGATGTAGTTACAAGGTGTGGTTGACAGAGTGAGCACAGAACCCTGGCGGCGTACGTGCTGGCGGGCATCGTCGACAACTACCCCGCCGGCCAGGAGGCCGCGCTGCAGGTGAGCTCCGACTGTTTCAAACGACTAACTAGTATAAAGTGCTGAGACATACTAAATTAATTATTATTAGAAACTCATATTATGCTCTAGCATGGCTTGAAACTAGTCAAATTCCTGGTCAAACAGTAACGTGAGTAAGCCATAAACAACATTTAATTTTTTTGTTTCTACTTGTGTTATGTTGCATTTGTTTTATATATTTACTTGACATTTTTGTAGTTTAATTTTATTTCATTAAATTGCTATGTTTGTATTCGCATGATTCCCTTTAATTAAAAAGACTACAAGGTTACTGTAATTTCCGGTGGATTATATTTTAGCACGTAGGTACGTGTATCTTTTATTGGGAGTCCAAAAAAATAAACATAATAATTAATTAAGTATAAAGTGGTTAGACTTTATAATTATTATTGTTTATAATTAAATTAGCATAGCTACAATGATTAATTATGTCAATTTTTGAATAGGTAAATACTAATAATAACTCAACCAAAAACCAATACTTCGGTAGTTAGTAGTACTAGTACTAGGTAGTTGGTAGTTACTTAGGTATTTATCATTTACGAGTATTCATCGGAATAAATGCCCGTCTCTAGATACTTAAGTATTAACAAAGCGTCTACCTTATTCACAGCAGATGCTGGAAGTGTCTTACACCTTGTTCGATGTCGCGGAGAACCTAACGGGTAACCGGGGCTCCGGCTCGACGTGCAGGAGAAGGAACGGGGTGGTTTTTAGTCAGTAAGAGTCTGACACTCCCTCCCGCCTCACCCAGGCGGGAGCAGTCATTCGATGATTTTCCCCCCCTTAAAAAAAAACACCTTGTTCGATGCACAAGTTTGCACGACGCTACGTATTACGTTGTTTTTCACTCGCAATAATGTGTCTCTGTCACTTTTAATAATATCTAACGCGTTTATTATGCGTATTTTCAATTCGTCCGCGTCTCTAATCTCACTACCACTGTGGCTGTACAGTCTGTACACTAAGTCCTTAACACGACCCCAAAGATACAAATCTAAGGGAATGAGGTCCGGGGATCGAGGTGGCCATGCAATCGGTCCACCACGGTCTATTCAGCGATTTGGATAGGTAGCATCTAAATACTCGCGAGCTGCTCTATGGTAGTGGGTCGGCCTGGCCTTCTTCACGGAGCATGTTCCATGCGGTAACGTGACTTATTCCTAAGTCACGACCTGCGACCTGATTCTCGTGGAAGTACTCGAGAACTCGTTCTTCTCCGGCAAGCCGCGGCCTGCGGCATCTGCTTGGGGAGGACGAAACTGACCATAATCCAGTAAACGCTGGTAAGCTCCCAGTATTGTCTATAAAGCCGGTACTCGTCGTTGAGCACCATACAGTTCCTGGTACGTAGTACGAGCTGCAGATACATTTTCGCCGCTTCTAATGTACCACATTAACATGTCTAAGTACTTGCGGTTACTGTACGTAAACGGCATTATTGAATATTGAACAACAAACAATAAAAAATGGCGCGTGCGATTGATCGGACACAACACTGAACGACACTGAGGGCCACACCCTTCCCGCGCGACAGCTATCGGTCAACTGGCTATCGAGAGAGAGAGAAGTGGGAAAGAGAGCGGGGCAACTAGCGAACGGGAGAGAGGGAGAAAGAGAGAGAGATTGCGATAACATGGGGACGGTGACGGCGCGCCAGTGCTTCGCTCGGACCGCAAGCGCAGCCCCGCGTACGGTTTGCACAAAAAAGTTAAACCAACTCCTTTATTTTTGTTAAAAATAAAAGTCGTTAAAATTGTTAATTTTTTGCTATACGTGTCAGTTAATTGATTCTCACCAACCTCATAAAATATTTAAAACTATTTTATTAACACCTTATATAGCTACTGTATCAATCAACGTAAACAATGAACAAAGCGACTTAAAACGATGAAAAGAAATAACTACTTTAGATAATAATATCTACCTAGAAAAAATAACACTTGACTAATCAGACCTTCAGAGCGAACAAATAAAAATCAATAATAGTGCTAGATGCGTACACCGAAACATAATTGTTTCGGAAGCTGGAACCTATACTTACGCCGGTAACGAAACCATAGCGCCATCTAATCGATCCTAACGCCATCCATCGAGCGTTGAAACAACAGCGTACAATATATCTGCTAATTGTTGAGTATTGTTGCCACTATGATTTCGTGTACCTTTAACAACCTAAAAAAACTCCATAAACAACTCTATCAAATACGCAATTTAATGTAAAATGGTTGGAACCAAAATTTAAAAGCGAAAAACTCAATGCTACCCCGTTGTATAAACACTCAGCGCCCTCTATCGCCAAGTAGCGTAACTATACTACTACTACTACTAAAATGATTGACTACATAGACACCAGTCTCGTGTACCTTTAACAACCTAAAATCTATAAAATACGCGATTTAATGTAAAATGGTTGGAACCAAAATTTCAAAGCGATAAATACTTAAAAAACAGCACTACCCCGTTTTATAAACACTCAGCGTCATCTATCGTCAAGTAGCGTAACTACTACACAACGTTACCGTTGTGTTTTTCAAGTATTTTTACATATAAAACAGCAAATAGATGAGTCGAAAAGTGCACCGAATAAGTGTAGATTAACACCAAATAAGCGCTATAGATTAAAGCGTGAAATTTCCAATTAGTAGGTAATTAGTTGAATTGTTTTAAATGGCATACAGCGCCATCTATACGAATACACACAGCGCCATCTAAGCTAATATCACATTTTTCCGGGATAAAAAGTACCCTATGATTTAATCTGGACTTCTAACTTTACGTCTGCAAAATTTCAAAGCAACGGTTTTGTAGTTACGGCGTGAAAGCAGAACAAACAAACAAACTCACTTTCTGATTTATAATATTATATAGTAAGGAAGTAAGGATTTTTAACTCAATCACGGCAAAACTGCTGAAAGGTCAGGATGAAATCTGGGACCGGGGTAGATTGTGGTCCGGAATAACACACGGGCTACTTTTTGTCGGGCGACGACGCGGCGGCAGACTAGTTGTGAAATGAGGTTCCGGCGCAGGGCTCGATGATCTCCATCTGCCTGGAGCAGCTGAACGACGGCTGCGCGCGCCTGGCGCTGTGGGCGTGCGTGTGCCTGGGCCGGCTGTGGCGCCAGTTCGACGCGGCGCGCTGGGCCGGCGTGCGCGACCTGGCGCACGAGAAGCTGTTCCCGCTGCTCAGCAGCCGCCAGCCCGAGCTGCGCGCCGCCTGCGCCTTCGCGCTCGGCAGCTTCGTGGCGGCCGGCGCCGCGCGCTCCGAGCACGCCAACGCGCTCGACCAGCAGGTCGGCGTGCAGCTGGCCGCGCGCCTGCCCGCCGACGCCTCGCCGCTCGTGCGCCAGGAGATCCTCGCCGGTATACTTTGGTCCGGAAACATTTCCGGAACTTTTCAAAGTTGCCAATTTTGAAAAAAAGCTGTTATTGCCCACCGTTTCTCCGAGGTCACAAAATAAAAATTATGGAATGACATTTTGGAAAACGGAAAGTGTACATCAAAATTTCCAAAATTGTCATTTTTCAAAACTTCCGAATTTGATTATTATAATGTCTAGATAGAGCATCACCATACTATACGTAATCCACCATCATACCATCACCATACCATTCAAATGTTTTTCAATTGCAGCTATACAATGGATGGTGTTGATATTTGAGCAACACTTTATCGCGGTGTACATCCAGGAGAGAGTGCGCAAGAGTGACAGGTGAGTAGCGGACAGTGCAGTAACCAGGTACTGGCTGGCAGTGGACAGCGAGCAGTAACGAGCGACTGTCGCAGGGAGGCGGGCCGCGGCGGCCGCGTGGACCAGGGCTGGGACGCGCTCTCCGACACTCGCAACGTGCACCACCACCACGCACTGGCGCGCCACGCAGCCGCACTCGCGCTGCCCTCCATCGGTAACTGTCCCACCTCTACCCCCACCCCCACCACCACGCACTGGCGCGCCACGCAGCCGCACTCGCGCTGCCCTCCATCGGTAACTGTCTACCTTCCCCTCTCTTCTCCCCTCTCCCTCTCCCCTCTTCCCTTCACTTCTCTTCCACGTATGTACTGTACATGTACTGAGGCTGTTCTGTCCACCAGGGTTCGGCTCGGTGTACATGAAGCTGTGGAACATCCTTACCATGATGTCGCGGGAGCCGCACCCGCAGGTTTCGCAGATGGCCAACGAAATTATTAACTACATTGCCAATCAGGTAACATATATCTTTAGGAACATGGTCTACTGCAATCACATTATTTTTAGTATAGCATAATAATATTTTTGTGTACCGTAGATGTTCAGTAAACGTTTATCGAACGCTTACAGTAAGCAAACGCTAGGATGAAGGGGCTCTCCATCACGTCTTTAATTTTTAGAAGGATTTGGTGAGCATCTCTTGGTTCTAACTCTTCTCTCCAGCTACACAATTTGCAATTATATACCCTATACAATAAGCAGTCAAAACAATTTTTATAGACTAAACTGAAATGCTGGTAAATACCGAATCGAATGTTTTATATCGAGAACTAGCTACTTCCGCGCAGTTTTTTTTTAATAAGCGTTGCCCCACACTTGGATATTCTCCTGTGTCGTGGGTGCTTTTACAAACATACAATTTCACATACACATCACACCCAGACCCGAAACAACAATTTGTGGATCACACAAAGTGTTGTTCCGTGCGGGAATCGACCCGCGACACGTTGCTCGGCAGCCGGTTGTTCAGCCACCGCACCAACCGTGCAGTCAATTAGGCGCTCTGCTCAGCTCCTATTGGTCGTAGCGTGATATTTTATAGCCTATAGCCATCCTCGATAAATGCACTATCCAACACAAAAATAATTATTCAAATCAGACTTGTAGTTACGGAGATTAGCGCGTTCAAACAAACAAACAAAAAAACAAACTCTTCCGCTTTATATAAGAGTATAAGATAAGATATAAGATTATACAGAAATGTAGAGCTGGAGCTGTCGCGGCGCGAGTAGTACGCAGTTAGTAGCGCGGTGTGGCGGTGTGCAGGTGGACAGCGTGGGGCGCGAGCTGGAGTTGTCGCGGCGCGAGCCGGCGTCGCTGCCGCCGTCGCGTCAGTAGCCGGCGTCGCTGCCGCCGTCGCGTCAGTAGCCGTAGTGTGTAGTACGCAGTTAGTAGCGCGGTGTGGCGGTGTGCAGGTGGACAGCGTGGGGCGCGAGCTGGAGTTGTCGCGGCGCGAGCCGGCGTCGCTGCCGCCGTCGCGTCAGTAGCCGGCGTCGCTGCCGCCGTCGCGTCAGTAGCCGTAGTGTGTAGTACGCAGTTAGTAGCGCGGTGTGGCGGTGTGCAGGTGGACAGCGTGGGGCGCGAGCTGGAGTTGTCGCGGCGCGAGCCGGCGTCGCTGCCGCCGTCGCGTCAGTAGCCGGCGTCGCTGCCGCCGTCGCGTCAGTAGCCGTAGTGTGTAGTACGCAGTTAGTAGCGCGGTGTGGCGGTGTGCAGGTGGACAGCGTGGGGCGCGAGCTGGAGTTGTCGCGGCGCGAGCCGGCGTCGCTGCCGCCGTCGCGTCAGTAGCCGGCGTCGCTGCCGCCGTCGCGTCAGTAGCCGTAGTGTGTAGTACGCAGTTAGTAGCGCGGTGTGGCGGTGTGCAGGTGGACAGCGTGGGGCGCGAGCTGGAGTTGTCGCGGCGCGAGCCGGCGTCGCTGCCGCCGTCGCGTCAGTAGCCGGCGTCGCTGCCGCCGTCGCGTCAGTAGCCGTAGTGTGTAGTACGCAGTTAGTAGCGCGGTGTGGCGGTGTGCAGGTGGACAGCGTGGGGCGCGAGCTGGAGTTGTCGCGGCGCGAGCCGGCGTCGCTGCCGCCGTCGCGTCAGTAGCCGGCGTCGCTGCCGCCGTCGCGTCAGTAGCCGTAGTGTGTAGTACGCAGTTAGTAGCGCGGTGTGGCGGTGTGCAGGTGGACAGCGTGGGGCGCGAGCTGGAGTTGTCGCGGCGCGAGCCGGCGTCGCTGCCGCCGTCGCGTCAGTAGCCGGCGTCGCTGCCGCCGTCGCGTCAGTAGCCGTAGTGTGTAGTACGCAGTTAGTAGCGCGGTGTGGCGGTGTGCAGGTGGACAGCGTGGGGCGCGAGCTGGAGTTGTCGCGGCGCGAGCCGGCGTCGCTGCCGCCGTCGCGTCAACGGGCCCCCGCGTCGCCGGCGCCGGCGACCCGCCGCGCCGCGCGTCTGCCGCACGCAGCCTCTGAGGACTCCGTGCCGCACCGCGACCGGGACTCCACTTCGTCCAGCTCTAGTCAGTATCGCACCATAGGTAAATGTCGTCGACGTGAAACGTATGCAATACACGAGTCGCGGTGCAGGTCAGCCGGTGAAGAAAGCCATAGTGACGACGCAGTTCGTGGAGTGGGCGGCGGCGCAGTTCGCGCGCGCGGAGCAGGGCGCGGAGGGCGGCGAGGGCGCGGCCGACGTGGAGAGCCGCGCGCAGCACGAGCGCGCCTGGCGCGCCGCACGCAACCATCGCCTGCGCGCGCATGCTCAAGGTACTTCCTCTGCTTGTCTCACTCCAATTGACAAATTTCAACATTTATAAGTGCATGAAACAAACATACCGTCTGTCTATTTTTATGTAAATTACAAATACAGTTTCTACTAGCTTCTGCCAGCGGCTTCGCCCGCGTTTCCGGGGGTGATAAATAGCCTATGTGTTACTTTATGCCATAATGTACCCCCGTTCCAAATATCATCCCGGTCCCTTCAGCCTGCGTTTTTGCGACTGAGTAACAAAAATACGCACAAACACGCAAATTCACAGTCAGTAACACACCCTACTACATAATTATATTTACCGACTTCAAAAAAGAAGGAGGTAGGTACTCCCCCATTTGTGAATCGATTTAAAAAAAAGACTTGTTTTGTTTGTAAGGTTTGTCAGGATCTGGTGATGGAATCCTAGGGAAACCGAGGGGAACTTTCGAAAGTAGTACGGGCGAGTAATGCGTCTATTATGTTTTTCAATTATGATTTTTAAACACTACAATTTGATAGAAGTAGATAGATAATCTGGAGTCGACCTGATGATGGAGCCGACAGACAAATTTATATTGATTAGAACTTTGTATATATGGTATAATAAGTGGTATAACTATCTATCTATATAATATATATAATTTTAAGGAAAACATTTCCGTCCTACATGACTTCTGTGTAGCTTTAATCATTAAAGTTGCGAAGTTTAAAAATTGGAGTAACTTTTCCGTTTTCCCAACATTTCCATTCCCCTCTCTGCTCTGTTTCTATTGATTGTTGCGTGATGAGAAGTATACTATAATCAGCTCAGAAGTATGAAAAATAATTGTACCAAGTTTCGTTAAAATCCGTCGAGTAGTTTTTGATTTTAAAACGGTTATACAGACAGACAATCGACCAAAATCTGGATTTTTTATAAAAGTACTTCAAAGGTGAATATCTTGAGACCGGCTTAGTTTGGGATATGGGGTTCCTTAAACAAATCGGTCAGGAATGATGCATACCACCACCACCTCTTATAGAATTTAGGTCGACTCAACCTGTAACCCTGTATATTGCTGTGATACCTTTCAGATTAGTAGTCTGGACCGTGGTGGAGTCGGGTTTATTTTGGCCACTGTCCTTTGTATTAGTTATATAGTGTTTATTTCGGCGCCAGGGCTGAGCGCGGCGCGCGTGTCGCGGCTGGAGACGGCGGCGTTCCACTCGCGCTGCCCGCTGCCGGCCGGCGTGCTGCAGTTCCACCCCTTCGAGCAGCACGCCGCCGTGGCCTTCCGCCACAACTTCGGCGTGTGGGACTGGGGCACGGCCGCCAAGCTCTGCGTGGGCGCCTGGCAGCCCGCCTGGGGCCGCATCACGGCGCTGGCCTACCTCAACGCGCACGCGCACGCGCTGCTGGCCGTGGCGGGCCACACGGGCCAGC